CAACGACACATTCGATGGTATAGCTATTTTCGGAGCTGGGCGGTGAATACAATCATTTACACATTATCATGCTAAAAAACATTTATATTATATTTCAATATCGTTGTCTCAGCATGACAATCATTAAAAAGCTATTAGCTCTATACCATATAACTATGTCGAGATCTTTTAATGAAGATTATGCACATCACTCACAACATCAAGTGTTTTTAATCAGGTTACAGACTACAGAACAAACACGTTAGACGAAAAAGAAATCCCGCAATGTAGAAAATGTTTTGTTTTTTATGAAATACATGTCAGAAATCAGCATGTGATATACAGAATTGTTTTAGCTGGTTTTATAATTTATAGCGTGTTATTTGTAGCTGACAACTTGCTATTACACTTTTGAATATACAAATAGGTGTTTTTATTATAATACATCGCACTTTTTATATTGTCCGGGCAAAATTTCCCATAGTCGATGTAGAAAAATATGTTAAATTACATTAAATTATATATATTCCATTTCTTAACACCGGTGGCCTGAAATCTCTGTGTGATGGAAACGTCGGTTTACCGTTCAATTTGTTAATGGTTTTCAGGGATTGTTTTATTACGAGTCGTAAAGATTTTGTAGTGGTTTTCAAGGTTTCAGCAAACGCCAACTTTCCTCTTACGGTTACTTAGACATAAAATTATACTGAATATGAAATGAAATACATGTAAAATGAAGTTTAACATCCTACTTTTTCTGTACCAAGCAGGCTAATGAAGATGGATATTTTATCAGAGCAGTAGCACTGTGGTCTGCTCTTATTTCAATTTTCAGCTGTGTGTGTATGCTTCAAAGGTATACACGCCCCCCCCCCCCCCCACACACACACACACACGCACCATCGACAACGGAAAACCACGTCGGAAAATTTCGAAAAACTTTGTCGGCCAAATTCCAGATCGAAAGGCAGACCATCTCTTTAGCAAGCAAGCGCCGTATTCACAGAGCCACCGTCGCTTCAAAAACAATAATCATTGGTTTATATTGATGGAATGCCGTAGATCAATTTGTATTTGAGTCACCAGACACGTGCTTTCGCCCCGCCTTTATTATAGCGGTTGGTGCAGGAAGGTAAGAAGTAAAACCCGATTTCATTTCACGTATTGTCATTAGACATTCCCTAATTTAATTCATTAAGTTCCGTTTTTCTGGAACATTAAATTTTGAGTATTATTCGGGTCACGCCCACCTCGGTCTTTTCGGCTACCGGCATAGACAGACATGTCTTATAATGATCGTTTAATGTGTTTTTATCTCTTTTATGGACAGATGCACAAATGATTCTAGTCAATTGGGTTTTAGTTGAAATGTATTCCAAACCATAAAAGTGTTACAGAGGTTTATAAAGAGAAGGAGGTTAAGAAATGAGAAACCTGAATGACTAAAACTCTTTTCGTGTTCGTGGAAAAGGGGGAAACAGATGGTTGTTTAGTTCAATTCTTTTGAAATTTATCTCCTTTCCGTATTAGATTGGAACAAAATATATAAATTACACTTCAGGTCTCATTTAAAGAGGAAGCATAGCTTTTCAATTTGGCAATCTGGTAGGATCAGGTTAGAATTGACTTATATAATGCATGACATCGTTCACCGATTCTCAGCAGCACAATTTACTCGCTTAGTCCGCCCCTTTTAAAGTTCAAGTCAAATCTTTTTAAAAAGAATAATCCGACGAACATTTGTCAATTATTGGATTTTATTTTTATTTAAAAAAACAAACACGCCATTAATTTTGAGGTTGATTATAACCTTCAACCGATTCTTAGTAGCACACTCTACTTGATCAGTTTGTAGACCTTTAAAAAATATTCCATCGAATGTTTCCCAATTATTTAAACTTGTTTCTAAGAAAGCACCATTAATTTGGGGTTCATATAGCGATGTGTATTACTGTATGTTAATACGTAATTTAAAATAATAATCACGTGAGAGAGCAGACTAATACTGTATCCGCGTTATAAAAACTTATAATTTGGGTCATATGGATGATATAGAGAGGGTGGGGAACCAATTAAACCCTTACCTATTATAGCATCATAAAAGTAATCATGTGTGCATTAAATTTATATTAGAATAAATTGGTATAATACATTTTAAACCAGGAGGGAATCACAGTGGCTAAGTGAGAAAGACGTTGGCTCGTTAACCTAGAGGTCTCGTGTCCGATCCATTCATTGGCCGAGAAAGTTCATCGGCATTTTTCGGCGTGGGTCCCCCTTGCGAGTGGTGCATGGCAGAAGACCTGGCAAGGGTCGTTCGGATGGGACGAAAAACCGAGGTTTCTGTAAACGTAAAAGATCCCTTAGCAAAGTTTTCCTTATAGCACACTGTATGTTGTATGCCCAGTCGGAGCAGAACAGTAGGATGTTAAACTCATTTTCATTTTCTTTAAACCGGGAACTTTTCTTGCATAGACTTGGTAATCTTCTTCTTCTTGGAGCGACGCTCTTTGAAACAAAATACAAAATACTCCGTAGTTCGCCAATTCGATTACGAAACTTGGCATGGTTGTTCGTTGGATAAACGTTACAAATATGGCTGCGATGACGTCATGCTCGGTTACTGGTTTATATTCTTCATATATATTAAGCAAATTTCAATTGCTTGCGCGCAGATTTAAATTAAAGTATGTAAACCCATTTTAAACATTGTTTATTAAGCACATTTAGAAACGAAAGAAATAGTTTTAATTATAGCCCCCGACCTAGATTTGACAATATACTCAGAATTTATTTTTTAAATGGTTGTGTCAAAAATGTAGCCACACGTGGTTTAAGACAGGCTTTTATTTTTGAATCCCTTATAAATAGAAACATTTTTTCAACTTTTAAAGATAGCTCACCAGAGAACTATGTGTCATTTCTGAGGCGGATTATATCAAGAAATAATTATGTTAAGTCCATTAAATCCATAGAGGATTTTGAAGAGAAGGGGTGTGACATTCGTACAGTCTAATGTGTAATTTGCTTCTTTACCGTTACTTATACGTTACCAGTACTGGTGAAACAAAGCTTCTCATTTAAATTTTTCCCCAAAAATAGGTAAAAGTATGAGGCATTTTAGAAAGAGGTATGATGGGAAAATACAGGTATAAGGTATATCTCAGTGGTGGCACAATTTGATCAAGATTTTCAAGAGTAACAAGAAGACTATAGGTTATATTAAAACCAATTAGAATATCTTTTAATTAGCAAAAGGCAACACTACTATAAAAACTTTGATGTTTGTAGATAGTTTCATATAATATATCTTGAACAATTTATAAGATATGCTCCAAAAATAAAGGCGAAAGTACAAGTGGGCGGAGCCGCGGAGTCTATTTCAATATCATTCTCTTAACTTTCAATCTGATTAAAACACATATCCTATTTTTTTTTTCGTTTTTTAAAAATTCAAAATATAGTTTTACATGTTTGCACTAGTGAAGGCCATCGAAAGTACAAAATAGAAACTAAATATGGAGCTGTGTTTTAATCAGATTGCCTCAACTTCGTCCCACTCGGGATATTAATCTTGTACATTCTAAGATAAAGTTACAACAAAGGAATCATTATCTCTAAAACTTTAATCAACAGTGTATATAACTTATTTTAATGTGCGTACCAAACAGAACCAAACGCTGATTGATGCTATGTATTATACTTATCGCAATTAATAGGTTTTCTTTTACATATGGTGAAGGTTATACACAGTTCAGGGACAATTAACTCTTGCACATGGCAATAATTTGTCATCGTCTTGTCTGTGGGATTTAATAGTTTATCATGTATATCACGACCTGGCGTAAAATAAGATCTTTCGGTCAATTAAGTTTTTAATTCGATGGTAAATAACGTCGTGGGATTAACTTACCGTAGTATGAATAGAACCAAATCTATTTAAAATATAAAACCCCTTTTAAAATGTAAAGCATGTAACCAAAGACGAGAAAGTGATGGTAGGATGTTTGATAGTAGTAAGATAATTCTTTTGTCCTTAGACCAAGGGTTAACTTTAGCGGGATTTATGAAGTATGTGTATATAAAAGTATTTGTAATTAAATCAAGCATATTAAATATCAATTTTAAGATTTGTATGCAGATAAAACAATAGCATGCATTATATGTATGTTCAGTTGAATATCTCAGTTATATTCAGTTGACTACAGATACTTAATGATAATATCAATCAATTACAGATACTCAACGAGAATATCAATTATACTTAAATTACTACAGATAGATAATTAACGATGGTCTTAGTTATGTTCAATTAATTACAGAAATATATGGTAGTTTTATTTATTTTATAGACAGTAGCAGACCCCCCCCCCCCACACCATCCCCCCGCCCCCATTTCTCATTGCAGATCATATGAATGAATCTCGCCATATAAGTCTCACAGTGACGGAAGTATTGTGTTGACGTGACATTATCCATTCTCTGTCAGTAACAGGTGTGAAAGACAGGCTGAAGAACAAATTTGTTTGTTATCACATTTGATGGTGAAATAAATAGCACTGAAATACAATATTGACGAGTGTTCGTTTCCAGTTTGTATTTATATAAGATCGCGTAACTAGGTGTCCAGTCCATCCCTATTGTACTCCCTGTATTATATTTGATAGGTGGGTGGTAGCATTGGCCACTTGGGATGAAATGGGGTTTAACTTCTTACGATTCTGTGCCAGCCGGGAATACACCACGTACTGTCACACGAGGGAAAAGTTGTTCGGACATCGGTGCTACTTACTTCCAATTTTATCTGTCAACGATTTCTAACGTGCACGCCAGCATTTCCACGAGACCTCGGTTTTCCGTCCTACACCACTGACAAGCGGAAACCACACTGAAAAATCACGGGAAACATTGTCGACCAACACCGAGATAGTGTGTTCAAATTTGCAATTGGGAGTGAAAATTGGACAGGTTTTTGTCTCGTTAAGTAGGTGTAGTAAAAAAAACATTGTTATATATTATAGGTAAATGGTTATCTGAACAATAAACCATCAACCACGCAAGAGATTTCATGATATACATCTGAGTGAGTACATTTTCTTTTTTAAAAATTTGCACAGGGCCCGTTTCACCAGGGGCCCAAATTCACCCGGGGCTTATATTCACTGGCCTTAAACATTCACGGATTTCTACTGGTTAATTTGATTCACCATATTTGGGGGTGGCGCGGAGCGACGAAGCGTGATGGACGAACAAACACACATACACACTTTGATTTTATTAATATAAATGTTTTTCAAAGCTTCAGAATGTAAAGTTATATTATATTTGTGTATCCTCCGAATAATAATTATCTGTACCAATTAGCTAACACGACACCCAGACTGCATAAAATTTAACTTTAATACGGTAAACGTAAAAGTCAAAATAAAAAAACCCCAACGGATCTTGGTCTTTTCTCCGCTGGTTCTGAAGCTTGGCTTCATTCTCGCCCAGCTCGCTCTGTAATTTTGCCAGTATACCCGGCTGAATCAAAAATATATATTTATATCAAACTAATAATACCCTTTAACACAACAGACATGGAGACCTGGCTTAATAGGTATCACGCTGTCTGATTTATCTGATCGCATATCAAGAAAGTCCTCTCGTATTCTTTCTCTTGTCTGTTATTTGCGACTGCCTGCTGTCATATTCAGATTTAGATTTAAAAATTTAAATGAAATGTGGTTTAACGTCCTACTTTTCTATACCGACTGGGCTAATGAAGACGGGCTTACACCATATATTTTGCTATATGGCTTAATCTTATTTCGAATTCCAACTGTCAATGCTTCTTTTGTGTAGTCAATATGTACGCATGACTTCGATTTTCGTTCCACCCGAACGACTAGACGCTGTCCTTGCAACGCTGAAAAATTTCGGGGAACTCTCTCGACCAAAACCGGGATCGAACCCCGGACTTCCTGGTTAGTGAGCCAATGTCTTACCTACTGGTCACCACGGCTCCGTTTAGAAAAAGAATGGAATTGGATTTAATGTCTCACCAACGCAATACTTCGGTTAATTGTATGGTTATATGTGAAATGCCCAGTAGAAGAATTTTTCCCGGACAGCGGCGTTTTTATATACTCTTGTTTGATTTCCAATGATCGAAAGTTGCTTTACCTGCACGTTAATGTATATACACATCAGATTCTGAGTGATGATGGACGGCCGAATGGTTAGCATGTGCGCGCTGTATAATAAGGTCTGTCATTGAGTTAGCTGGCGTGGTTTAGATCCCCGTGCCAAGGAGTAGGGTCGCCTGACCAACCTCGTAGATTTTCTCTGGGTCCTCCGGTTTCCTCACACTGCTAAAGACACCTACGCGCACGCGAATTATTGAAATAAAATTGAACCATGTGTTAGTCCCGAAATGACATAGTTTGTGTCGAGTGGAAGTTAAACTCTCTCTCTCTCTCTCTCTCTCTCTCTCTCTCTCTCTCTCTCTCTCGGATTTTGATTTTTCTTTTGTCCCACCCTTTTCTTGTTTGCCCCACAGACGTCATCCATGAGAAGTGGTCTGGCTTGAAAAATTTCGAAGTTTCCTTTCGGCCTATACTAGAATTCGAACCCTATACATTCTAGTCGGGATTCCAGTTTCATGACCGATCGACTTCCGCGGTCGTATATAAAACTACAATGCTATTGTCAACGTTTTTCGTAATTCGAGACTGCGATCGACAACACACCACTGTTTATTGTCATGTGCTGTGTAATAATTGACTTTTTACGACCCTAATCCAGACAGTTAATTGGTGATGGACATATTGATATCAACCCCTCTCTCTCTCTCTCTCACCAGGAAACCCTGGGTTCGTTACCAGAATTAGTCTCGAAAGTCTCTCGAGATTTTTCAACCTGATTGTCAAGTATGATTGGTGTAGGATCGAGAGCTTGGCAAGAAAAAACGCCTAGTCTTTCACGTTGTACAAAAACAACGAAGCTATCGTGTATACAATAGGCAGAACGTTAAAGATCCGCAGACAGTCGGAAAGCGAAATAAGAGTAGATCGTAACGCCATATTTTACTCTCACATGCTGCGTTTAGCCATCATCTATAATACGATTTGAAAGTAATCGTAATAGCTTAAGTAAAACAGCTTATATAGCAAAATTCGTATGTCATATACCCTCACACGCTAAAGCAGGCTATCACAAGAAATTGTATCATAGCGAAAATCACCGTGAGGGTGGAGCGGCTTTATTTTTTGTTATGGCCTCCTCTTGTTTCAAGGATTCTTGTATGTGTATGCCAACGTGTGTACACAGGAACTCGGTTTTGCGGTTTTGCCTCCCACCCGAACGACTATACAATGTAAACGATGTTGCTTGTTCCGTCTTTAAACCAGCTTTCCAGCAGTCATATATATATATACTCATTGTTTAAGATACGTTACAATAAAACAAACATATACCCCTCTATGTTTATTATTATTAGAACATCATACCCTTTGTGAACGAACTATCATCTGAAACATTGAAGGTAAACTCATATTTTATAACATTTATTGTGTCTTTAATATATATGCAAGCTAACACATAAAAATGCAATAGCCTCTCACGATAATAAAAGATATATTGGACTCCTTTTATTCTTAAAGGAACAAAGACAGGATTCCTAAATCTGGTTTATTGTGCATTGAAAACAAAGTGTAAGCCGGTTTCTCACACTGCGATGTTGGCTATGATACCCTGTGATTTGCAGGAGTTGGTTGGGTGGCCGAATGGTTAAGAGTGTGCGTTGCATGATAAGGTCTGTCATTGTCATTGATGTCCCCCGTTCCTGATATTAGTTTCTTTCTTTCTTTCTCCGTACAACGTGGTGTTCGCAAACCCTTTCCGTACTATGAACATCACATGATTATTTCGGTAATCACACTACGTTTCTACTACATTCGGTACTTTAACTGATTTATACTATATCCAATATAACTTTTCACTAATTAAATGAGAGTAAACACATTTACCTTGTAATTTTATACCAGTATATTATTTATGATTACAATTTTATACAATGTACTTTATTATATTCCTGGGGAGATGAATTTATATAAGATCCCACGATTTTATAGTGTACTTTTATAGTATGTAAATATTTTTTGAATAAATAGTGTCAGAAAAAAGGGGCGTGGTTTCGATTCCCCGCTTGTACGTGGTCACCAGTCCAACCTCGTGGGTGTTCTCCAGTTTCCTCACACTGCTAAAGGCAATTATTGAAATGAAATTTAACCATACTATTAGTCACGAAATGACATAATTTGTGTCGAGTGAACGTTAAACCCCACCCCCTCCCCTCTCTCTCTCTCTCTCTCTCTCTCCCTCTCTCTCTCTCTCTGTGATATACAATGAAGTGTTTCTTTAGAGATACATTATACAACAGCCAACTATTGCATTTTTCCTGGCTTCATTTGTTCTGTAAACTTTTATTTAACATTTATTCACTTGACAAGCCCGTGAGCAAGCCTATAATATATCGATTAAAACACCTGCTCCATTTAATAATTTATTGTTTAAATGGATAATCGAGTCTTTGTTTATTATCGTGGCAATGGTATTTGACAATCGAGACTATCTACGCTACATCATGTCACAACTTCCAACACTGATATCTTCTCTATCAAAAGCGAAAGAGAAATGGGTTTTAACGTCCACTCGACACAAACTAGGTCATTTCGGGACTAACACATATTTTATTTCAATAATTCGCTTGCGCGTAGAGGTATTTAGCAGTGGGAGAAAACCGGAGGACCCGGAGAAAACCCACGAGGTTGGACAGGCGACCCTACTCTTTGTCTCGTATAACCGGAGATTTGACTCTTATCAAAAGAGCAAGAACGACCATATCTTTATCAAAATCTTACATAATGCATCTTTAAAAGCTAACCAATCGTTATTACAGAAATAGTGAGCTATAGTAACATTCGTTGTGTTGACAAATATTAAAGCTCAATATTGGAAGCTTGCCATTTGTAGTTTTTGCTTAAATATCACATTTTTGACGGATTAATCCACGCCAATATGTACTCAGATTGATAATTTAACATTCAGTTAAGAAATCAAAATATACCAACACTAGATAATGTTCTGGCCTGGAATCAGTCGGATATTTAAAAAGGTCCTAGCTTGCAAGTGATTGTATAGCGCTACAATGACGCATATGGACAATAAGTAAAAATATCGATATTGCACGAGGACGTAAGCCCGAGTGCTGTTTCAATATATTACGCACATGCATCTTAATAAAATCGTCACGCCAGTTCAATATGTCATCTAGTATCAAACAAATGGACGATTGACTTGTTGCCCGTATGACGTCACATTTGTATTTTAAAAACATTGTAAACACACACACACCTTCGAACCAAACTTCAAAGTTGAATTTATAAACGTGTTGGTTTGATTAAATGTTACGGGCTAATTTAATTTTTTGAATGAAAACCTTTATGCGTTACAAAAGTTACTTCATGTAATAAAATTTTGATGATCTTGAGCTAAAATTATGTTCTTGAGATCAAATTAGTTTTGTATTCAACGATCAGTCTGTCCTTTACATGACTAAATTCACCAGCCATTATTACTTTATCAATTTTATAAAAAAAAAATAAGGGTGTATGGTGAACTTGAGATAGAGCTTTAAAAATTTATTAAAATCTAGGTTAATAAATCACTATGCAAGAGCAAAATCTGCTTATTACAAGTCTTTCTTTAGACCTGAAATGTTATCTAAATTATCAATTAGACATTAATTAACTTATCCAGACCATAATAAACTCTCGATGTCAAGGCTAGCCTTCGATTTTGGCTTGATTAGATTCCTATATTATTCCGCTTAACGGCCATTGATAATTAAATAAAAACATTGGATAATCGAGACTATGCTGTTTATATTAATGATTTTAGTAATGATGACCGAGACTATGCGAAAATTTCACTCGCTTCGTTCTCGGCTCATAGTGGATCAATTTGACTGAAATTTTCAGCAAATTACCTTTAAACTATCTAGTTTTTAACTATTATAGCGAGAACTGCCATCAACTAATT